TCGTTTTCTCGTGTCTTTGAACGGTTGTGCTCTCCTCCCCCCCCCCGGCAACCCTTACGCCCATGTGTCATTTCAGGGAATCGAATCGATTAGGAACACAGAATTTGACTTGATTTACTGTGATTATTGTTGAAAATAGAGTTACTGTATATCAGCACTCGATTGTTCTGACTGAATTTGATTGTGCATAGTAACGATCATGTTGGAGATAGCTCCGTTTTGGCTGTTGTGGTGCGTCGTGGTATGTGGCTGGGATTTCTGCGAACAAGCTGAGAAGCCTTACATCTAGCCAATATCCACGTGTGCCTGGTTTCTTAGCTTCTACTCACTGTTTGTCCACCTTCGCGGACGCTTTCTTCTGCAAGGTTCCACAGTTCAATCTCGTCACTCTAATTTTGGAGTAGGGAAATCTGATATTGCCTACGGAGGTGACTAGCCATTCCGAGTTGACATTAGTACAAATTGCGCCATCGTTTCTGTGGGGTCTATCCCCTTCTATCGCGGCTTGTTATGATCAAAAATCTAAACTTTTCATTCGGTTTACGTGTAAGCTATACGGGTACAGAGATCACACATATCTGATCAGCGTGTGTTTTCATATCTGCGGAATGTTTTTCTATTATTACACACTTTCGTGTGATGATCAACATACGGGGAAAGCCCCCTAGCGGGGCCCTATGTGGCTCGCTACTCCAAGTCCCGAGGCTCAGATTGCCGGTTCCCATCACTGAACAGCAGGTTTTCGTGACTATGAGGTTCGTCCCGTTGGTTGTTCAACACGTAGTAGTGAACGTCACGTCATTACAGATGCGTCAGTCCTGCGTAGGCTGATGAAGCCTGGGAAATGCGGGTGGTTATCTCATCTTCCACGATACCGTCATTGATTACGCAACTACCTAATTAGGAAAAGGAATTCACTAAAACTGATTCCTAACCATTCCATTTCAAAAAGGGACAGTCTTGCCGTATCAGTGCATTTTGAAGGTGCAGAGCTCATGCCGAATGGAAAAGCAGAACTTTTCACTCAGTCAAGTGCACTTTGCACGTTCTCCATGCATTTGAACAGACAAATGATGTCAGTGTACTCTAGATCGCTGCAAGCACCACGCATGCGTGCTGGTGTACGTTATGGCACCAAAATTACCGAATTCTTCTAGTCCTAGTTTATAATGGCTGGTCTAAAATCGAGACATGTACTTGCTGCTCCAAAAAGGGAATGCTTTATTTTTACCACTCAACACAGTGAAAATGCAACTCACAGCTGGTCGCATTTTTCTGTGCTGTTCGTTTGTTCAATATTGTGACAAATCGACGCTGAATGAGAACTATTTACAGTGTCCGAAAGGCCGTTGCCTCTCTCC